GGTGTTGGTCACATGGCGATGTGAACTATGGGTGTTAATCACATGCAGATGTGAACATTAGTGTTAAATCACATGGTGATGTGAACTAGATTATTGAATCTAGTGCAAGTGGGAGACTAAAGGAAATATGCCCTAGAGGCAATAATAAAGTTATTATTTATTTCCTTATATCATGATAAATGTTTATTATTCATGCTAGAATTGTATTAACCGGAAACATGATACATGTGTGAATACATATACAAATATATTGTCACTAGTATGCCTCTACTAGACTAGCTCATTAATCAAAGATGGTTATGTTTCCTAACCATAGACATGAGTTGTTATTTGATTAACGGGATCACATCATTAGTAGAATGATATGATTGACATGACCCATTCTGTTAGCTTAGCACTTGATCGTTTAGTATGTTGCTATTACTTTCTTCATGACTTATACATGTTCCTACACCTATGAGATTATGCAACTCCCGTTTATCGGAGGAACACTTTGTGTGCTACCAAACGTCACAACGTAACTGGGTGATTATAAAGGAGCTCTACAGGTGTCTCCAAAGGTACATGTTGAGTTGGCGTATTTCGAGATTAGGTTTTGTCACTTCGATTATCGGAGAGGTATCTCTAGGCCCTCTCGGTAATGCACATCACTATAAGCCTTGCAAGCAATGTAGCTAATGAGTTAGTTGCGAGATGATGCATTACATAATGAGTAAAGAGACTTGCCGGTAACGAGATTGAACTAGGTATTGAGATACGGACGATCGAATCTCGGGCAAGTAACATACCGATGACAAAGGGAACAACGTATGTTGTTATGCGGTTTGACTGATAAAGATCTGCGTAGAATATGTAGGAGCCAATATGAGCATCCAGGTTCCGCTATTGGTTATTAATCGGAAACGTGTCTCGATCATGTATACATAGTTCTCGAACCCGTAGGGTCCGCACGCTTAAGGTTTCGATGACAGTTATATTATGAGTTTATGAGTTTTTATGTACCGAAAGAGTTCGGAGTCCCGGATGAGATCGGGGACATGATGAGGAGTCTCGAAATGGTCGAGACGTAAAGATCGATATATTGGACGACTATATTCGGACACCGGAGGTGTTCCGGGTAGTTTCGGAGAAAACCGGAGTGCCGGAGGGGTTACCGGAACCCCCCGGGGAAGTATTGGGCCTTAGTGGGCTTTAGGGAAGAGAGAGGGCAGCAGTCCAGGAGGTGGTGCGCCCCCTCCCATGAGGGGTACGAATTGGACTAGGGGAGGGGGGCGCACCCCCCTTTCTTTCTCCTCTTTCCCTCTCTTTCCTTCCCCCTTCCCTCTTCCTAGTTGGACTAGGGAAGGGGAGTCCTACTCCTACTAGGAGGAGGACTTCCCCTCTCCTTGGTGCGCCCTCCTCCTTGGCCGGCCGCCTCCCCCTAGCTCCTTTATATACGGGGGCAAGGGGGCACCCCAAAGACACAACAATTGATCTCTTGATCTCTTAGCCGTGTGCGGTGCCCCCCTCCACCATAGTCCTCCTCGATAATATTGTAGCGGTGCTTAGGTGAAGCCCTGCGACGGTAGAACATCAAGATCGTCACCACGCCGTCGTGCTGACGGAACTCTTCTCCGACATTCTGCCGGATCGGAGTACGGAGATCGTCATCGAGCTGAACGTGTGCTAGAACTCGGAGGTGTCGTAGTTTCGTTGCTTGATCGATCGGGCCGTGAAGACGTACGACTACATCAACCGTGTTGTTCTAACGCTTCCGCTTTCGGTCTACGAGGGTACGTGGACAACACTCTCCCCTCTCGTTGCTATGCATCACCATTATCTTGCGTGTGCGTAGTTTTTTTTTGAAATTACTACGTTACCCAACATTTTTCCCATAAATTATCTTTCTAGCGCCAGTAGAAGGGCCCCAACCGACCTTCGAGGAGGGCACGAGATACCTGCCGCACCAGGGGGTGCCCGGCGCGCCCTGGTGGGTTGTGGTCACCGTGGGCTCCCGTTTGCGTTGATTCCACCTCCCAAAAATCATAAATATTCCAAAATAATTCTTTGTAAATTTTTATCGCGTTTGGACTTCGTTTGATATGAATTTTATGTGAAACAAAAAACACGCAACAAATTGGAACTGGCACTGGGCACTGGATCAATATGTTAGTCCAAAAAAATCATATAAAATGTTGCCAAAAGTGTATCAGTAGGCCAGTGCGAGCGACCACCGTAGCGGCGTACACGACGCACGTGCGTATGGCCTGAGGCATCGTTTGGCAACCGATCCCGTCAGAGAGACGATGAAGATGCTGATGAAGTAGACATGCACGTTGTAGATGACGAACCGCAGCGAGCGACGCAAGCTGATTTAAGATTGGAAAACCAAAAAAGAACCGCCGATCAAGATGTCCAACGAGAGAGAAAATTCAGATCAAGAAATCGGAAAAAAGACTCTCTAGGGCAGCCGGTCAACACAACCGAAGAACGAACCCTAGGTACAGGTGAAGCGGCCCTCGGTGGCGATCATGGAGGTCGACCGCCCTGGGGCGGCGCAGTGCGGAAGCGGCGACGACGACTACAGTTGTTGATCGAGGTTAGGCTGGAACCATGTAGGAATGTATAGAGAGAGATTGGTGGAATCGATTGTTGTATTGCTTGAGCCTCGTGGGCGTATATATAGGAGTGGAGTACATGATCAACTTGAAGTACAAGACAAGTCAGAACAAATCCTAGTCTATCTCATATTTCCTAACTGATCATGATACTCAACAATGCTAAATCCAACGTTGTTACTTCTAGTTGTTCTATTGATTCCACTTGATTTTCTTAGCCAAGTTATTCACTTGAGCAAGAAAATAATTTATTTAAAGGGATCATAGAAAATGGTGTCTACAAGAGCCTTGTCGGGAGTAAGCAGTTTGATGAGATTGTTCGCAAGCAAGGATGCCAGCGGAAGAATTAAGGTGTTGGTTTTGAATGAAAGATCAATGTAATGGAGTTGAGTGGGAAGAAGATCAATACTCCAAGACGAAGTTTGTTCCTCAACAAAGGAAGTATGGCACTACTTCTTTCAAGGGGACACAAGCTCGAGATGATAAATAACGAAAACGTGGACATCCATATCGACCCCTATACTCACACGAATGATATTTGAGTGAACATTTGGTTATCATATGTTATTTCTTTTGCTTCGCGGTACTTTACAAAACCCGAGATGAGATATATCAGTATTCTCGTGAGACAAACTCATGCTCACTAATACCGGGCTCCTTGTTATCGGTTTTGTTCTCTTTTCTCCTTCTCGTGTTTCGGCCCCCCGTGATCAATTCGCGCCGTGTCTAGCCACACGATAATGGATGCTGTCACACCGAGAGGGCCCTAAGAATATCTCTCCATCGTTAGAGGAGCAAATCCCAGTCTCGAGCTATCTACTCCCTTGTCATACGTTTTCATGAGCCCGTAATTTCCTGTCATGATCATCCTATTACAGATGACGTTGGAACAACCCAAAGCGCATCGTCCTGTATGGAGTGGATACTCTCATGTTTTAAGGAATCATACATACGTTAACTCATGTGTTATGGGTTGTAGACATCGTATAACAAACACTATGAGTCAATTCAACATGAATGTTTTTCCAACACCGTGCTCTCAAATGTTACTGGCATTATGGTCATGCCCATGATTAGGAAAACAAAATCGTCAATCAACACTTTGAGCTAGTCCTAGAGGCAAGACTAGGAATCTTATTTTACCGTTTATGACTCTACACGTGCTCATGAATTTCCCTCCAAATCGCATATTCGAGAACCATAGCAGTTATAATATAGAATACAAATATTAACCATAAACCTGAAAATAAATAGTAACACAATTATTATTGCCTCAAGAGCATATTTCCAACACTGCATGGTTCCCAGTGATGAGCGAGATCAAGATTGCTCCCAAATGTTTTGCATCTTATCAAATTCACCACATCGGAAAGGACCAAAATCAGATGGCTCATGAGCTGACAGCTCATGCCAGATTAAGGGAAGATGAAATATTAATATCTTAATAACCAGCGTTCCTGAGGAGCTTCGAAACTTGTGTATTCTAAATATTCTCCTGCTCCTTCGGTAACTTTGTTACTCTTCCCCTCATAAAGAAAAGAAAAAGACAGGTAATCTATCTACCTATTAATACAATATGCTCTCTAACTTTGAAGCTTTGTCATTCGATTGAGGTGTTTAGTTTTGAATTTGGTTCACGAATTTAAATCGGTCAATGGTTTTGATTGAGATTATTTTGAATTTGATTCATGATTTTCATTCAATTGTGGTGTTTAATTTCAGATGTTTCATAATTTTAACTGGGTTAACGATCTTGACTGAGGTGTCCACATTTGGATTTCGTTCATGATTTCGACCCAGGTAATTATTTCTCAAATCAATCAATAACAACGAGCATACCAAAAAAGTATCAACAATCAACCTATTAAACACATGACTCCCGCGAACTCTCTCATCACCTGGCAAAAAAAAAGAAGAATTCGTCAACATGCGACACTGTAACACAAATACAGTACATGCGGCCGCACGTGTTGGAAGCTTTCCCACGTGTATCACCTTGTGGAAGGATCCACTCAAACACCGCATTATAAAAAACATAGCCCATCATCTTCTTCATGCGCCGAACCCAATATATCTCTTTATGAAATTCCAATAACACAAACGGCCCAGCAAAAATACACACATTTTTTTAGGAAGTGCACAAACCTTCTATTAGTACACAAAACCTAAACCTGATATATAAAAAAAGTAAAGCCTACAAATTTCACGAAAAGAAAGTTGAGAGAATCCCAAAATTCGTCTTCCACTACCTCCGCCGTGGCGGACTGTTCAACGGCCAGCCCCATCCCCACATCCGCTCCAAATCCCCACCCCCACCACTAAACCAAAAACCAAGTGTTTCCCCCCCTCTTTCACTCCCTCCCACCACGAAGCTTGTGGAGGTGGAGCCAGCACAGCACCGAAATGGTACCACTCTCCTACGCGCCACCGCTACCGCCGCCGCAGTCGCGACCGAACCCCAGCCCTAGCCACAAGCCCAAGCCCCAGCCGTGCGTGCTTCTCTTCCCCGCCGCCCTCCGCACGGCGGCCGCGGCGGCCGCCATCTCCTTCTCCCTCCTCGCGGGCAACGCCGCGGCTGTGGCGCCGGTGGAGCAGCCCCCGGAGATATGCCGCGGCCAGGACGACGGGAGGGAGGTGGAGGTGAAGGCCGAGGCGGTGACGAACGAGCAGCTCGTGGAGGAGGCGTGGGAGGTGGTCAACGAGGGCTTCCTCCCCGACGCCGGCAGCCGCCCGTGGTCACCGGAGCTGTGGATGGTAAATTTGTCTCGTGATGCGATTCTGTATCACTGTATTTGTTGGTTCACATTACTACAATAAAGTCTCAATGCACACTGTAGCTAGAAGCCCAGAACGCTCACTTCTATCATCAGTGATAGTGAATCTCTCAATTTTAATTTGATGCAGCAACGGAAGCAAGATATTCTTCAAGGCTCAATCAAATCCCGCTCTAGAGCCCACGACATCATCACGAAAATGCTAGCTAGCCTGGGTGATCCATATACAAGATTCCTGTCGTCCTCAGATGTAAGTTATTTATAAGTGGCACTGTTCTATGCCATTGATTTCAGCAAGCGAAACATGGCTCAAACTTGGATTGATGTTTATTGTTTCCCCAATCCACTAAGGTCATTACCTTTTGTCCTTCATGATCCACGTATCCATTTTACATCTTTTGTTAGATAATAATGACATAGAAGCTCTCCCCGGGCCATTTTGCATGTTACTAGCATGCCACGAGCACTTGAGTTCCATGATATCGTCAAGTACATGTGCGAAAGTTGATGTAAACTAGATCTACTGTTTCCTCTTGGATCTCAGGCAAAAAATATTTCATTTCTTTCTGCACTGGAAGTCATAGTGTCATGCATGCTGATCTTCAAAGAGTTCTCTAGATCAGCATGAGTTGGACTACACTTGAGAATACCATCTGACTTGGACTTCCACTCTCTGTTGTTGTTTTGTATGTTTGGTACATGGTACACACTCTGGCGGTCTGGCCTAACGAACCTACATCTGGAGACTGTAGCAATGCGATGCCATCTTTATTAGCTAGTACAGATCGGTTAGATACTAGGCTGTCCTAAGCATATATATATATATATATATGCCTGTACCTGCCCCTTGTAAACACAACGAAAAAGCAATTCAAATAAAAAGAAGCCAGGAGCGACACGCTCCTGTAGCTATCACCAAAATCAGTTTTCGTCTGTACTAGTTTACGTTCGCAAGTTTACGAGAGTTCCGTCGAGGGAGTCACCCCGTCGATCCAAGATCAAATCGATCCTGTGTAGTACAAGTCGCCGGCAAGTACAACCTAGCTAGCTACTATCAATTAAGCTGCCTGCTTGGTTGCTTGTTGAAGCTAGCTTGCACGTACAGGTTGCTCCTGGTTGATTTGTTCTAGCGTTCAAAAGCTAACAATTGGTATCAGAGCAAGTCAGCAACAAGTGGTGGCGGAACGGGCGGCGCCAATGTACAGGCGCATCGCAACATCCCCATCCAGTACCCGATGCTCACCGACGCCAACTACGGCGTGTGGGCGGTGAAGATGAAGATCATTCTCCGAACCCTTCGAGTGTGGGAGGCCATTACGGACGACGACGTCGACAAGGAGTGCGACGAAGGTGCCATGGCCGCCATAGCCCAGTCTGTGCCGGATTCCGTGCTGATGACATTGGCGGAGTTCGAGACAGCAAGAGAGGCGTGGAACGCACTCAAAGAGATGAGGATCGGAGAAGATCGCGTCACCAAGGCTCGGGCACAAGTGCTGAAGCGCCAATTTCACAAGTTGCAGATGGAGGAAACTGAATCGGTGAACGACTATGCCATGCGTCTGACTACATTGGTGGGAGAGATCCGCGCGCTTGGTGCAAAGCTCGAGGAGACCGAGATTGTGGAGAAGTTTTTCAGTTCGGTGACTGATAAATTCACGTACATCATTGGCACGCTCGAGCAGCTTTACGACATCGACGACATGACCATAACGGAGGCGATCGGACGCTTGCGGACATGGGAAGAGAATGCTCGTGGTTGTCGGAAAGGCAAAGGAGGAGGTGGTGACCAACTCATGTACTCGCGCACAGATTGGGAGTCCCCAAGTAGCAAAGGAAGGCACAACGTTGGCGAAGGCTCAAGCAACGCGAAGCGCGGCGGACAAACCAGAAAAGGCAAAGGAAAAGGCAAGCCACAAGGTCGTGGTAAGGCAAACCGATCTAAAGAGTGGAAGCCAAGGAACTTGGATATGTCTGAGGTCAAGTGCTATAACTGCAACGAGATGGGTCACTTTGCGAAGGATTGTCCGGAGCCTAACAAGCGGGAGATCAAGGCAAATTTGGCGAAGCAGGAAGACGAACGTCCAGGTCTTCTGATGGCCGAAGTTTGTGATCTCGTCCAAACGGCGGTTGTGAAACTAAACCGGAAGGTGCTACTTCATGAGAAAAAAGTAACACCAAAGTTATCCGGAAACCAGAACATGTCATGGTATCTAGACATGGGTGCCAGTAACCACATGACGGGGTGCAAGGAGAAGTTCCTCGAGCTGGAATATGATGTTCCAGGCTCGGTCAAGTTCGGTGATGGTTCAAATGTGGAGATTTGCGGGCAAGGCTCTGTCCTCTTCGAGGGTCTCACAGGAGAACATGGCATACTCACCGGAGTGTACTACATCCCAAGGCTTCGCAACAACATCATCTCTATCGGGAAACTTGACGAGAATGGATGCAAGGTGAATATCGAGAACGGAGTGATGACGATCTTCGACAACCTCCGAAACGTGCTAGTGCGTGTGAATCGCACGCGGAACAGGCTCTATATTCTCAACCTTGATCAATCTCAACCGGAGTGTTGGCTCGCCAAGAGTGATGATGATTCATGGTTATGGCATGCTAGATTTGGACACGTTAACTTCTACGCCTTGAAGAAGATGTCGAAGATGGAGATGGTATCTGGGATGCCGTTTATCGACCATGTTGATCGAGTATGTGATGGGTGCTTGGTTGGAAAACAGCACCGCAGGCCATTCCCTGCTCAGTCTACCTATCGTGCAAGTGATGCACTCGAGCTGCTCCATGGTGATCTATGTGGCCCTATCACCCCAGCAACTCACGGAGGAAAGAAGTACTTCTTCCTTGTGGTAGATGACTACTCGAGATATATGTGGGTCGTTCTCCTACGATCTAAAGATGAGGCGTTTGAAGCGTTCAAGAAGCTGAAGGCTGCAACGGAGATGGAACACAAGCTGAAGGTTCGCGCTCTACGGACAGATCGTGGCGGAGAGTTTACGTCGAACGAGTTCAATGACTACTGCGAGAAGATTGGCATAAAGAGGTTCCTGACGGCACCTTATACGCCACAGCAGAACGGGGTTGTTGAAAGGCGCAATCGAACCGTCGTTGACATGGCGAGAAGTTTACTCAAGAGCAAGAACTTGCCGGGGACTTTTTGGGGAGAAGCTCTCTCGACGGCGGTCTATCTTCTCAATCGGGCTCCAATGAAGGCGGTGATCGGCAAGACTCCGTATGAAGCAATTTACGGACGAAAGCCGAATGTGTCTCATCTACGGACGTTTGAGTGTGTGGCGCATGTGAAGACGGCGGAGCCGCATCTCTCAAAGCTTGCCGATCGCAGCACCAAGATGGTGTTCATCGGATACGAGAGGAGTTTCGGCACCAAGGCATACCGCTTCTACATCCACGAACCAAGCGTCTACGGATTTCACGCGACGTTGTGTTTGAAGAAAACCAAGCGTGGAATTGGAGCGCAGCAGCCGACGATGCTCCAAACGGTAACATATTCATTGTTGAATTTCCAACTGATGAAGATGCAAGGGAGGATGTCCAGGTGGTTGGCAAGACACTCAACCAAGGTGACCGCAATGGCAGTGATCACCATGGTGCCGACACCAACGACGACGTGCATGGGTCGCAAGGTGATAGCAACAACGACGCGCAAGACACGGGTAGAGATCTCGGCGACGACATCGACAACGAGGCGCATAGTGATGATGACAATCAAGATGATGGTCACGATCACGACGACTACGCTGACGACGCGGATGCCAACGACCCGGCATCTACCACGCCCGAGACTCAACGGTCTTCCTCAAGTGCATCGACGCCGTCACAATTTGTGTCACCCCCTTCGCAAGCCACGACGGATTCTTCCGGGCCTCGTCGCTACAAGCCCCTCAAGAAAGTCTACAAGTATGCAAAGCCAGTTACACTCGAGTACTCCGATTTGTGTTTACTCGGAGTTAAGGAGCCGGCGAACTTCGTAGAGGCGAGCAAAAGTTCAAGTTGGATGCACGCCATGGATGAGGAGATGAAGGCGATCGAGAGCAATGGCACGTGGACTTTGGTAACCCGACCTCCGAACCAAAAGGCCATAGGTTTGAAGTGGGTTTACAAGTTGAAGAAGGACACGAAGGGTGCCATTGTGAAGCACAAGGCAAGACTCGTCGCAAAGGGCTACGTACAACGTCAAGGAGTTGACTATGAGGAGGTGTTTGCACCGGTTGCTCGAATCGAGACGGTGAGAGTGCTCCTAGCTTTGGCAGCACAAGAGGATTGGAAGGTTCATCATATGGATGTGAAATCCGCTTTCCTCAACGGCGACCTCAAAGAAGAAGTGTACGTGGAACTACCCCTCGGCTACGAGAAGAAAGGCGAAGAACGGAAAGTTTACAAGCTCAAGAAGGCACTTTACGGGCTGAAGCAAGCGCCAAGAGCTTGGAACGCAAAGTTAGACCGAAGTTTGGTCTTGCTCGGGTTCAAGATATGTCCCCTCGATGATCCAAATGACAGTCTATCAAGCACCGAAGAACAAGTGAAGGTTAAAGACGTGACCAAGGAGGAGCGCTGGCGTCAAGCTACAGACGAGCCGACGACAGCAAAGACGGTCCCTGAAATGCTACGAGGAACGACGAAAGGAATGCCAACAGTAAAGCATACAAGCAGTCATCGCATTTGGGATCCAGGCCGTAGCGAGGACGTCATGTTTAAGGGGGTGAATATTGGGATTAAACCCGACGTCCGAGTACACGTCTGTGTACGTGTCCGAGTAGTACAACATATAGGATACCGAGTAGGATTGGTATTAGCTAGTATAGATCGGTTAGATACTAGGCTGTCCTACGCATATATATATGCCTGTACCTGCCCCTTGTAAACACAACGAAAAAGCAATTCAAATAAAAAGAAGCCAGGAGAGACACGCTCCTGTAGCTATCACCAAAATCAGTTTTCGTCTGTACTAGTTTACGTTCGCAAGTTTACGGGAGTTCCGTCGAGAGAGTCGCCCCGTCGATCCAAGATCAAATCGATCCTGTGTAGTACAAGTCGCCGGCGAGTACAACCTAGCTAGCTACTATCAATTAAGTTGCCTGCTTGGTTGCTTGTTGAAGCTAGCTTGCACGTACAGGTTGCTCCTGGTTGATTTGTTCTAGCGTTCAAAAGCTAACAATCTTGTGCTCTTTTTCTCCTTTGCTTTCATAGTGTTGTAATACAAAACTCTTGCTTGAATGTTTTTACTAATTGCTGATCTTTGATTGATTTTATTTGGTAATTTTGCATATGTTCAATCAATCTGCTAAAGTTCTCAAAGATGTCAAAGTATGACATGACTGGTATTGGGTTGAACTTACGAGAGATTCCTGATGACAATGGTTCTTTAAGATTGGTGGTATTAGGACTGATACTAGATGGGCCTGCTCACTCTGCTGGTGTTAGACAGGTATCAACTGCTAAGCATTTAGGCTTTTTAATTGATAGTTTGCTTTGCTTTTCTATGGGAATCTTGCTTATACCACAATGTTTTCAAACCGACCATGTTCCGGTTTCTGGTATGTACTTCTTGTACAAAGTTATCTTAGCAGATAGTCAAACTGCATGACCAGTTACATATGGGCAGCATTTGACTATATACTCCCAATTTAAGAATCAAGATGCTGAAATAATGTTGGCTCATGTCTCTGCTTATACCTTATGGAGTAACTAGATCAGTAATGCTTTTTTTTTGTCTTGAAAAGGATGACTAAAGCTTTTAATCTTTTTTGCATGGATTAACCGAACCCTTTCTATTTCATATTTTGTGCTAAGCGCTTCACTATAGAACATAGTATTCTCAGCTTTAGCTTTTTTTATTTCATTCCTAAAAATTGAACGTGTTAAGATATTTGAACAAATGGCAAGTTCTATTTTGACTTTTCTCATTCTCAACATACTAAAGGCATCATTTTTTTAGGGGAAAGCAGCATTTATTTCGGAAAATACACTTTTGGTAATTATTATCAGAGAACACTGTTATTTTAGGCATAGCCGGTCCCAAGCCCGGGTAAAGGAGGAGGGTTGTGATAGGCTTGGCGAGCCAACGTAAAAACTAGCCAGTCCCATAGGTATGAAACCCATTTGAGCGAGAATAGTACTAGGATGGGTGACCTCCTAGGAAGTCCTCGTGAAAGGGTTTCATATCTAAGGGTTGTGATAGGCTTGGCGAGCCAACGTAAAAACTAGCCAGTCTTTTGGGTATGAAACCCATTTGGGCGAGAGTAGTACTAGGATGGGTGACCTCCTGGGAAGTCCTCGTGAAAGGGTTTCATATCTAGCCTACCCCAACTTGTTTGGGATAAAAGGCTTCGTGGATGCATTATCAGAGAACACTGTTATTTTACTGTTGATTGCTGGGAGCCTAGGATTATCCCATGACCTAGTTGGGTATGAAGTTAGATCATATACACACATCACCTAATCCTTCCGGGTCATTTATCTTTATCAGGGTGATGAGCTTATGTCTGTCAATGGTATCGATGTAAGAGGTAAATCTGCATTTGACGTGTCATCGATGCTGCAAGGCCCAAAGGAAACTTTTGTTACAATTAAGGTTTTGAACAATCTTATGAACACTATTAAGAGTCTGTCTGGCATCTCTTTGTGTCCCTTATTTTCAAACTATCTTACTCTTTTTTATAATATTATATATAGGTTAAGCATGGCAACTGTGGTCCTGTTGAGTCAATGAAAGTGCAAAGACAGATGGCTGCTCGCACTCCAATTTTCTATCGTTTGGAGAAAAGAGACAATGAGAATTCATCTGTCGGATATATTCACATTAAAGAGTTCAATGCAGTGGCCAAAAAAGATTTGGTCAGCGGTGTGTTGCTGGTTTGTTCACCCTATCCTCTGTCATTTCTAAATCTGTGCCATTTTTTGTATAACTATGTTTTGCAAATTGCTATCTAGTGTCTAACTCTAGTGAGCTGATTTGCATACATCTAAATATTTAAATTCTTATCCAAATTGAGAACATAACGACAGTTTATAATACTCCCTCCCTTTTTTGCAAACTGAATGTACACGATTGATTGTTTCTGCTCTTTTAGTACCTTTGGCTTGCATGTGATTCTGTTGATACTACAATAATCTTAGTTGTAGTCTTTTAGATATCATTGTTGTTGATTTACAGCAAGATTTGTCCTTTTAACGTTACCTGTCTCTTGCAGCACTGAAACGTCTACAGAATTCAGGTGCCTCCTATTTTGTTTTGGACCTGAGGGACAATCTTGGTGGACTAGTGCAAGTATGCCATTTTTTTCTTTTTCAAATTACGCCCACGCTTCCTAAAGTAGATGTCATTCTAGGATTATGAGCAATATCTAAAGGCATGTATACAAAAGGCTATATTACCGCCCTTCATTAGGTCACTTCTCGCTCTCGGATGGTGTATAGGAACCAAAATTTGAATGCTAGAATGTCCTATCTTTAATCTGCTAGAAGCCCGGAATTAAATTGTGTTTGGTAGGGTATTCTCTTCTTATTGAGGCTCTTGAGTTATTGTGAATTTCTTGAAATAGTTTGAGGCTCGTCACATAGGTTCAGAAATGAACTGCCAAGATATCATCTTTTTTCGATGGGTTATGCTTACACGGTCTGATGTTATGTTTATCTTGAAGGCTGGAATAGAGATTGCAAAGCTCTTCTTGAACAAAGGAGACACGGTATGGAACTTTACTTCTTTATTTTTAACTTGTGCTTTCTTTTCTGCAATCATTACAAAATTGGTGCATATGTTTTATTTTCATGTCAAAATGGTGCTAGATCATTGGTTATGGCTTTAACAGCTTTGCTTTTACCCACATGACTAGTCAAAGTAAATTCTGTTGGGGATTTTCTGAAATAAAGGGAAAGTAGAGGAAATTTTGGAGTGAACTGGATTTTCCTATGTATGCCTGGAATGAATGAATGCTTAGGATTGCTTTGAAGTTCCTATGGAATGACCCATTATAGAGGAAATTTGGGTAAAAACAACGGCCCGCTTGGGACTTTGGAAATATTAGAAGCGGGATTAGGAGAAACACAATAATTGCTCCCTCCGTCCCATAATATAAGAAAGTTTTTGACACTACACTAGTGTTAAAAACGTTCTTATATTATGGGACGGAGGGAGTAGATGTCAATTCTACTGGGTTCCTAGAGGAAATGAAGACACAGAAATGTACAAGATAGCTATTTGGATGCTCTACATGCATTCTTTACAGTAATATCATTTTTGTTACAGAGAGAAGATGAACCATGGCTAGGTTTTGAGATCTTATGGGTTTCAACTTTAGCCTACCCCAACTTGTTTGGGATTGAAAGGCTTTGTTGTTGTTGTAGAGAGAAGATGTGTGAGAAAGAGCAGTCATGCTTTAAAATGGGGCTTGAGCTGAGCTCATATTAACTATCCTCCAATATGTTGAAGAGAGGAAGGGTTTCCATTGTAGTTCGTTGGTCCATTCCGACATTCCAAAGGCTGTTATGGAAAGAAAAAAAAATCCACTCTCCAGATTCTTGTATGCTTTGGAACAGCCATTTGAAACCGTTCATTTGGTTTTGTTTCCCATAGGATTTCACTATTCCTGCGGTTTCCTTGGTCTGGTGTTCTCCAATTCAAGTATTCTGAAGCTGGCCTTAAAATCTTATGGAACTTTTGTGTCCATTTGAATACAAGCTTACTTTCCATGAAATAGTAACTCAGGAATCTTCTATATCTAAATAGCTAGCCCCCACTAACATATTTCTCCCAACATGCAAGCATGCTACCTCATCATTCAATATGCAAGGGAAAAGGCCCTCCTCAACATGCAAACATGCATGCATGGAAATTCCATTCTATAATGCTATTTACATTTAATTCTTATATTAGTTTAAAAATTACTATTTAAAATATTCATTTTCCATATAGCCAAAACCTCATTGAAATATTGCAAAACAGTCCGGCAACAACGTGCAGGGCATCATCTAGTTAAGTACAATGCATGTGCCAGATGCTTTAATCTTGGTTGGGACATGGTCATGGAAGCAACTGATCGTGCTAGTTTTTCGTTGATGTTGACTAATGATTTGAAATTCTAAACTAATTCCGCAGTTCAAAATATATTAACAACATGAAGAGGTTGTTACCATCACCACCGCCACCGTGATTCATATTTTCAATTAATAAAAATCATGCGCTCATTTAGCAGCGTGTGGTTTTGTTGGGTTACTAGTTTTAATTTTGATGTTTGTATCGTGCATACAAGGGAAAATGCATATATTCTACCGGTGGGAGGAATTGAATGGTGTCATTTGGCCCATGAACCAGCCATTTTTACATAGCAATCAGTAGCTACCAGTACACCAGTTAAATAGTGATCACCGCTGGTTTAGGTCCTGATGTTTTTCCGCTGGTCACCAGCCTAACTGTAATGCAGGCTCTCTATGGAAAAAAAATCTCATTCTTGAGCAGTTGGTAACATTTATCTGTTGAAGTGTATATATGGATTGCCTGGCGCTTTCCATCAGTTCGGACTTTTGGTTGTGTTGGCTAGCGCATGAATCTTAACATGCTATCAGAGTCCAAGGTCTTGAGTTCAAGTCCTGGCTTTGCGATTTATCCAAAAATTGTTGATGCCCCCTTTGTGTCCATGTATAGGTGTATATATGGATTGCCTGGTTCATGAAGCTTAACATAGTATCAGAGCCCAAGGTCTTGAGTTCAAGTACTGGCTTTCGCAATTTATCCAAAAATTGATACATCCGTATCTAGAAAAATTAAGACAAGTTGGGACGGAAGTAATACCTGCTAATCTTAACAGACCAATAGTTAGTTAAAAAGCCAATGCATATGGGCTTCTAGTTAGTAGTTACCTGTTAGAGTACGTAATGGGCCTAATGGCCTGGGCTGGTGGTATAGCCCGTTAGTCTTAGGGTTAATTAGAGATAAGGGTCGCTTGCTTAGTAAGCCTTGCTTGGGAGTCAAGTAAGCCTCTCTAAATAAAGAGAGGAGATGTATCAATCGAATCAAGCAAGAATTAAGAAGGAAATCCCTTCCCTCTTGCCCGGCCGTGGGCAAAAGGCTCCCGGCCGGCCCTCTCGCGCCCTCCTTCTAGCAGCGCCATAACATTACCATTCTTCATATGCTTTCGATAAAGACTGTTAAAAGTCAAAAAGTCTTTCTTTACATAGTAGTAAGTTTGAGAGCGTCATGTATTGAATTGCTTAAAGCATTTCTATTTATAGTTTCATGTTCTTAACTAAACTTTGGTAGTGAAACATAAATGCCCTTAACGGATTGTTTTTCAGGTCATTTATACTACTGGCCGGGATCGTCAAGTCCAAAATACAATTGTTGCTGACAGTGGACCTTTGGTTACAACTCCTGTGATGGTATGTTTTAATGATGGTGATGTACCTATTTCGAAATGCTTCAAGAGTTAGTAGTACAAAGATATCTCAAGCAGATACACTTCTCCACTGTTTTGTTGAACCGTGTAAGTGTGAATACAGCATTTACCCACACATTCCTCGGTCCTTACCACATTAAAGTTGTTAAGCAGCTTCAGCTGGCTAATTCAATGTTAACACTTTCCTATAATAAACTTGACAATGTGAGTATCCTTGAGTTACAGATTATTTCCTGATTTAACTGTGTCCATACTTCATGGGTCTTCTTACTTCACACTTTTAATCAGATCAATACTATAAATAAATGGTTTATTGCAGATTCAGTTTTATGTTGTAGCAAGTCCCCTAGTTAACTTGTTGCTTACAGAAATTTAGTAGGTCATGCCATATAGGAGTATTTATTATGGTGCAGTCAGATCTCCAGACTCATTTGTATCTCACTTGTCCATCCGCACCTTATGACACACAGGTACTGGTGAACAATAGGACAGCGAGTGCCAGCGAAATAGTAAGTAATTTTTTTCTCACTGGTAGTATAAAAGATCATAGTAGTAGGATCTCACCAAGTTAAGGATAATTTATAGGTTGCTTCAGCACTTCATGACAATTGCAAAGCCGTTCTTGTTGGCGAAAGGACTTTTGGCAAGGTTTAAAGTTTGAACCACCTGAAATAGCAGATCATATGTCAATCCCTGCTGTGACCAACAGGCTTATAGTATGCCCGTTCTCATATGTAACTCAAGTGTCTATGATATTGCAGGGCTTAATCCAGTCTGTATTTGAACTTCATGATGGTTCTGGTATTGTCGTCACAGTTGGCAAATATGTCACGCCAAATCACAAAGACATCAATGGAGATGGAATAGAACCAGACTACCGCCGTCTTCCTGGTGCTGTTCACGTTCACCAGATTTTCATTTTGTTACACCTGACATGCAACGTACTTTACTACTTCGGCTGAATGTACTTTTGTGACAGATCTCAATGAAGCCAGAGATTATCTTATGCGTTGCCAAAGCAAGAAATTAAATTGAGGTGAAGTGCTTCATTACAAAGCTTCTTACGCAGTAAGAAAAACTATTTATCCTTGCATATTTAGCTCTTCATGCTATAATAAAGAAAAACGATGCACTTGACTGTTCGTAGCAATATGCTAATCCAGCTGGTCTGAGTTTGACTGCTTGCACTATTTCACATCAGTACTTGTAATTTTATATCTCAATTAGTTTCACAAAACATTGTCTAAAATATTTTCATGGGTAAATCATAGGGATTCACACACTGGCTATTCATAAGTTTTGGAGCCACATGTGCTCACACTGGCCTTGCACTGCGCAGAAATACTGGCCTGGCCTATGATTCTCCACTTGGTGTTTATGATATGTTTCCATCTCATAAAATGTCTCTTTTGACTTGCAAGCTACTGAGTATGGACCTAATGGTCAAATGTACTCCCTCCGTAAACTAATATAAGAGCATTTAGATCAGTATTTTAGTTATCTAAACGCTCTTATATTAGTTTACTGAGGGAGTAGCTAGCTGTCATAATACTTGGAATTTCTCTCCTTTGCAGGCAACACGTTAGAAGTATGGAACGGAGGTTATGCCCGGGAGAATTGTACAGCGAAGAATGAACTCTCCCTGGTGAGGCGAGACCGCAAGCTCTACATCGAAGCATTAATGTAGGCTTCTGCAGAAATCAGAGTGAGCATGTCCTTGCATTCTCACCGGTTCCGCAGCTCGGTAGAGAAAGGAAAGGAGAGAGCCCTTGGATTGCATTGGCTTCTGCTGAATATACCCAGCACCAGTATGTAAATAACCTGTGATCCGTGTGCAACCAGTGGCATTCGTTATATAAAGAAGTCCAACAGTAGCTCTAATCCAAGCATTTTGCCAAGACAACACTATCTTAGAGCAACGGTAGCAGATCCCCCAAAAAGGCAGCCTCCGAAATCGTTTTGGAGTGCACTCTAAATTTTACAGGACACATTTGAAGTATGGAGAAACAAAAAACTAGTCCTGTGGGCTGTGGCAATCTTGGACACACGCATCAGGCATGGCAACAAGATTCTAGTTGGGCGGTACCTCTGGACAAATACATTCCCATGTTACAAACTTCTTTGCCTTGAGGATAAGGCGCAACTCAAGATGATGATAGTCTATCATGTCTCAAACTCATCTGAAGATTCACTTCTACCTGAAGAAACACAACACTAGCATTGAGTGGAACAAAATGCTCCAGAGAATGAGCGACTGAGACGAGCCAAGGCGACTTAAGTGAAAGATGTGCGGCTTTACATTCTTTTGCTGACACCCTTTTCCCGGAACATCAACGTTTACTTCTAGCTATGCAGGCTCTAGTTACCATTGTAATATCTCTTTTCCCTACTTAGAGCATTACTAGTAGAGCCCTCAAACCCCTGAAAATAACCGCTTTTTTACAGTTTTCGCCGAAAAAACGCCGTAGACTAGAACCTCTAAACCCTCAAACCCGTAAAAAAATTTAGAGGTCCAACCCTCGAACGACTTTGCAATCTGTAGAAGTAGGGGTTGAGGGGAAAATCTCCCCCCAACCCGCACTCCTCGTCGCACTCCTCCTCATCGCGCGGGAGCCAACCGCTCCTTCTCCGCTCCCGCCGCCTCCCGCCGCGCCGGCCATGGAAGGCCCCAGCGTCGCCAAGCCCCCGCCCGCCGCTCCCGCCCCGCTCGCCCC